TTATTATACATTGCTAACATATTGCTTTAGTAAGGCATCATTACTGGGTCCCACCTAGGTAGTTTGTGGTTGAACTTTCAATATTTGCTTAAAATTTGCAACAATTATCTGCTGAAGTATGGGTTAATTAAAAGACTAGGAATTAACAGCAAAAATGTATAGCTATATAAAATAGCCTATATTCAATGTATGAATGTTAAAACAAGATAATTTGTGGAAGGTAGAGAAGATTGAATATTTAAAATAAGTCATAATCTCATATTCCTGTAACTGAATATTAAAGTCACATAAGTTTATTAATTGTAATATTTAGTTTATATCATGTGTATGCATGTGATTTTGTTTGTTTGTGTGCATGAGTGCAGGTGTGTGTGTGTGTGTGTGTGTGTGTGTGTGTGTGTGTGTGTGTGTGTGTAGTACATGCTCATTAATACTGAGAAGTCTCTCCAGCCCAGGAAAATACTTCCAAATTGCAAAATCAAACATGTAGGGAATCTGAAGTGTTTTTAGCAGTACCTCTATTACCTCATGTGATATCGTAGGAACCATGGTTCTGCATGCATGACATCACATCACAGTGGTATGAGGGGAAAGCACCAACTCACTCAAAGTGGCATGAATATTGGAATATCATCTATCCTCTCTTTAGCAACTCTTAAACCCCCAAAGTAAAGAATGGTATATTTCAAGAACGGAAAGTAAGCAATAACAACAACAAAAGCCCCAAAACTGCCAAGCGAGGTTACTTTATCCAGCCAAACTGTCTTTTAAAAAGATGAATAAACATCACATTTCAAGAAAAAGAATTTTAGGACCAATAACCCAACACTACAGAAGATTCTTGAAGAAATAGTATACATGTGAAAAAAATCAACAGCTTCTACTATGAAAAAATAGGAAAAAATAAATTTCATGAAGAAATAGGTTGAACAAAGAAGGATTAAGATGTAATCTTTCATGTAAAACAAACAGTATATCTGCTAATCTCTCATTCTAACAGAGAAAGGGTAAGGCCAGCACTAATTCAACTGTGGTGGTTTATCTTAAATGTCAACTTGATGAAATCTAGAACTATTTGGGAGATGGACCTCTGGACGTGCCTGTGTGTGATTATTTTAATTTGATTTTATTTGGTTAATTAATGTGGGAAGACCCACTTACTGTGGGTGGTCCTGATTCCTAGGTTGAGATCTTAAACTCCACAAAAAGAAGAAAGGGAACTGAATAGTATCTTTCATTGTTCTATGTTTCTTGACAATGGGTACAATGTGACACCAGCTACCCCAAGCTCCTGTGAATTTTCTGCCACATTTGACTACAACCCTGAACTGTGAGACAAAACAAACCCTTTTTCCCTCATATTGCTTTTGTCTGAGTTTTATATCACAGCAGCCAGAGATGTAACTGAGACGGAAACTTGGTACAAGGAGCAGGGCCATTTTTGTGGTAAAACTAACGGTGAGGTTCTTAGTCTTGTGGAACTAATTAACAGACTGGTCTGTTTAGCAAAGGAAATGTCAGGAAAAGGAAAGGAGAAAACTCAGGTTGGGGTTGAGCAAACAGATATAACAGTTAAACAGATGTGCAGCACTAATCATAAACCTCTTGTACCTCATTGGACTATAGGAAAGGTGTTCTTAAAGGAAAACATTACCCATTAGAGTTCCCATGTTATTCAGATCAAAATTTATTTGAAAGCAGAAAGCCTATTGAAGGGTTGCCTTGTTCATAAAAGTAACTGCCAAAAGACATGTTTTCCTAGGGTTAGCACACTAAACTGATACAGCTGTGGGGTGCTGGGGGTTAGCCATTTCGTGAACTGGCAGTACAACTAGGCATAATCTTCAATATAATAAAAATATCTACAATAAATCTATAGCCAACATTGTAACAACAAAGAAAACCTTAGAGCATTTCCTTTAAAATCTGTAATAAGAAAAAAGTGATCACTCTACTGTTTTTCAGTGTAATATTCAGAGTCTTCATAAAGACGAGGAGGAAAGAAAAGGAATATTCACACAGAGAAGTCAAGTTATCCTTATCTTCAGAAAGCATGGCTCTAAAATACCTTCAAGACTCCACCAAGAAACTCTTAAGACTAATAAACACTTTTAGTAAATTAGCAAGCTACAAAACTAACACATAAAAATTAAGAGAGATTTTTTCCATGCCAATTATTTGCCAAGAATGAAACCAGGAGGGAAAACCCACAAAAGTCTTGACTTTTGTGATTGTTTGTTGTTGACATATGTGTATAAGATACAACTCATCTTTTTACATTCATTTTGCATGCCACAAATTTCACTGTTTTCTTTTATATTTCACATCAAGTTCATTATCAGGAATGGGCATTTGAGGTGGTCTCTCCACTATTGCTTAGCTTGCCAATCGGTGTTATCCCTTTAGATCACTCGAGGTCACTCTGGTGCCTGATCAGTCTTCTATCCTATGATTCCCTCTTCCCCCTATTCTACCCCCAGCAACTCAACTTCCTGTTCCCCCATGACCTACTCTCTCTTCCTCTTCTCCCCCTCTCTTCTTCCCAGCTCCCACTCCCCCCCATCCCTTGCTGTGTTCCCCATCCATTCAGATGATCTTGTCTCAATCCTCTTCTCTTGGGTACTATGCATATATGCATATTTTTTAGGTTCTTTCCTGTTTCCCAGACTCTCTATCAGTGTAAGTGCAGACTGGCACTATCCTGATCCATGTCTAAAATCCATATATGAGTGAGTACATACCATGTTTGTCTTTTTGCGACTGGGTTACCTCACTCAGGGTGGTTTCTTCCAGTGCTATCCATTTACCTGTGAATTTTAAGATTCCATTGTTTTTTTTCTGCTGAGTAATACTCCATAGTGTAAATGTACCACATTTTCTCTATCCACTCTTCAGCTGAGGGGCATCTAGGTTGCTTCCAGGTTCTGGCTATTACAAATAATGCTGCTATGAACATAGTGGAGCAGATGCCCTTGTTGTATGAATTTGCCTAATTTGGATATATGCCTAAGAGTGGAATTGCCGGGTCTTGTGGTAGATTAATTCCCATTTTCCTGAGGAATCTCCATACTGATTTCCAAAGAGGCTGTACGAGTTGGTACTCCCACCAGCAGTGGAGTAGTGTTCCCCTCTCTCCACATCCTCTCCAGCATAAATTGTCTTCGGTGTTTTTGAATTTAGCCATTCTGACAGGAGTAAGATGGTATCTCAGAGTTGTTTTGATTTGCATTTCCCTGATGGCTAAGGATGTTGAGCACTTTCTTAAGTGTTTCTTGGCCATTTTAGCCTCCTCTATTGAGAATTCTCTATTTAGTTCTGTACCCTACCTTTTAATTGGATCCTTTGGTGTTTTGGAGACTTGTTTCTTGAGTTCTTTGTAAATTTTTGAGATTAGCCCTCTGTCAGATGTAGGGTTAGTGAATATCTTTTCCCATTCTGTGGCCTGCCTTTTTGTCTTTTTGACTGTGTCCTTTGCCTTACAGAAGCTTTTTAGTTTTAGGAGGTCCCATTTGTTAATTGTCGATCTCAGTGTCTGTGCCACTGGTGTTATGTTTAGGAAGTGGTCTCCTGTACCAACTCGTTGAAGAGTATCTCCCACTTTCTCTTCTAAAAGTTTCAGTGTGGCTGGATTTATGTTGAGGTCTTTGATCCATTTGGACTTAAGTTTTGTACAAGGCAATAAACATGGATCTATCTGCAGTCTTCTGCATACCAGTACCCAGTTATGCCAGCACCATTTGTTGAAGATGCTTTCTTTTTTCCATTGTACAGTTTTAGCTTCTTTGTCAAAAATCAAGTGTTCATAGGTGTGTGGGTTAAAATTAGGGCTTTCAATTCGGTTCCATTGGTCTAAATGCCTATTTTTGTGCCAATACCAAGATGTTTTCAGGACTATAGCTCTTTTCTATAGGCTTTTGCATTTAGATTCTTCCTGCTCTTTCCAATTGTTTTGAAATTTTGAATTTATTTATTCTTGTTGATAGGCTAGCAGGATTTCTATCTTGCATTCCTCCTCTCTTCTTCTCCATTTTTTTGGTGTGTAGGTTGTGGGGGATGGAGTGTGGGGGTTCATCGCATCTGTGAGCCAGATCTAGGTTTGTCTTTAATGTTTCACCTTTTAGTGCAGTTCTGTTTCAGATGTGTCTTTTCTAATTAGCCTCAAGTCATCTACTTTAACACTTTTTATTTTAGTGAAGGTATCTACAAGAATGTACATAACATAAGTGTTAGGGCTCAGTTAGCACCCGGTGAACTCATTTATCCCACCAGTATCAGGTCCAGAGGCATAAGATCACCGCCTTCCCAGACATACCTTTGTGATCTCTCCTAATCTTTTCTTTACCAAGCACACTCATTTCAGCAATGTGGTTAGGGTTGATAACTTTTGTTGTTTCATACATAAAGTAATGAAATATTTAGTGGTTATATATGATTCTTTTACTTAAAATATCCTCATGTGAAATTCATGCCATACAGTTGCATTAGTGCTATATTTTCTGTTAGTTTTCATTGTTTGATACTTCGTTGAATGACTATACATTATTTATATATTCTATTGTTGATCAGCATTTGATTCTAGTTTGTATTTATTATTTTAAAAAAAACCTCAAAGAATGCCTTGCTCAATGCAGGTATGTCTGCTGTAGTGATAATTCTCTCTTTAATAATGGAACTAATTTAATTAATGGATCCAACTAGGGAATTTCTTGAACAAACTCTGCAAATTTGCATCACTAGAGCAGTTCAAGAACCTTCTATTTAACATGCATTCTTTGCAGGTATTGACTTCTTCAGTTTTCATTTCGTTGACAACATTTTGATGATGTTTACTGATATATCACTAAGTCATCTTATAGGTGTGTAATGGGCTTAGGTAAATTATTTCAAAAGACATGTGAGGTGGTTGTGGTATATATTCTGGGTTTTATCTTATAAGCTCTGTTCTAGTCACTACAGCTTGAGAAGGACCTCTTCTAAATTCTTTACTATTTTGTTAACAGGATTTTTTTCCTTAAAGAGACACAGAGGAAAAAACAAAAAGCTCTTGGAAATTAAATGGAAGACAGAGGATAATCTTAAGTGGTGACATCCCCTCCCCAATTTCATTTACTGTTTAATTGTGATACATTCTACAACATTTACCACTAACACAAACGTAACAAGATAAAAATTAGAACTACTAGGGCTTATTTAAGTGCCCATTGTCCATGGATTCTTGCCCTAAAGACTGTTAGTAAAACATTCCTGTAAGCAAATTTCTTCTCAAAAGATCTCTGCTACAGCACAAGATGGTGCCATTGACATATCATGATCAACAGTTTGTGTGTTTAGATAACTCCCAGCAACAAAATACAAACAGCTCACTTGCATATCAATATACAAGTGATGCACTAAGCCAATTCAATAGCCAACCTGTGACCAAAGAACAATCTCAAAATGCAGTCACAGTACCCTCATCAAGCTTTAGCAAAAAGGCCCAGAGCTTCTCGACATTACCATCTCCAAACTCTAAAATGACTCACAGCAGAGCTATGAAATCACCATCATTATACTCCAAAAGTCCAGCAACACCTTCAAAAGACGCCTACTTGAAAAGTTCATTTAATTCCTCTTGGAAAAGCTTTGACTCAACTTTGTCTCACCATAAACCTCAGACAACATCTGTATCTAGATTTACCAATACTTCATCTTTGGAGCCTAGCCCAATATCTCTGAGATCAAAATTACCCCTCCCAAAGACTCAGACGTCATCAAATATTGACCTTTGCTGGAAATCACCTTTATTGGAGTCTACTCAAAGAGTCTCAGCATCATCTTCATCTTCTCTTCATCATCAAGAAACACCCTCCCTCAATGTCATCTGGACTTCACCTTCTTTGGAATTGAGTCAAAGTGAACATAACTCAACAGTACGTAAATCTAAATCACAGAAGGATTCCTCATTGGACTATCTTTGGTCATCTTTATTGGAATCCAATCAAAAAGCTTTGACTTCACCACCACTCAACCACAAACCTCAAAGAAATGACTCTCCTACAACTTCATCTTCTCTGGAGGTCAATAGAACAGCTCAGAATTCACCATCGCCTGACTGTAAACCTCTGAAGATTCCTGTATCAAACTCTAATAACAATGTTCTGAATTTGCCATTGTCCCAAGTAAAATCAAGGAAATCACCTTTATTATCACACCCTGTTCATCCATCTCATAGTTTACCAGTGTGCCCACCAAAGCCTAAAATAGTGCTCAGATGTGATTCTAGCACCCGGAGTCTCAGCTCACCTGTTTCTCACACCAGGGTCCACAGTACTACTTCACCCAATGACAAATACAAAGCCCGCCAAGTATCCTCAGTTCATCCTAAACCAAATATCTCAGGCCAAAGATTATCAAGTCCCAAGCCCAGCATCAAGAACAAAAATGCTTTAATTCCAAGTTCCAAATTCCAGAGTAAAGGTAGCTGTGAACAAATTGTGAAGCCAGAACCGGAGAATGAAATCCCATGGTCCTTAGATTATAGTCATCCCTGCATTATTAAAGGTGGTACTGTCCCCGCTGATGTTGTAAATAAAATTGTCAATTCTATCTCCAAGTCTACAATCCAGAAGGACCTCTCTAGGCAAATTCTCTTTCGAAGAATGAGGGGAAGGCCAAATCCTCATCCTGGCCCCCGACTTTCATCAATGTATACTGTTTGTTTAGACTGTGCTTCCTGCATAAAATCTCAGTGTAACCACCTTACAGGGAAGAAAGATCCTCGATGCGCAACACTCTTTGTCATACCAACACCTGAGAGCAGCTCTGATGGAAAAATAGATGTGAAAATAGTTCTTATCCTTTCTCTACCAGAGACTTCTTCTTCATCCTGTTACCAACTTCCCATGAAAGATAATCAACCTGATGATAATCTAGAAGCCCTAGACGAGAATCTTGAAGAACTAGAGAAGATAACACAACTTTTCCCTGCATCTGAATCTGATTTCATCCAGGGGCTTAAGACAAACAAAAAGTGGTTGGCTGTATCTTCTGAGGACAAAGATGTAAGCCAAGAGCCCAAGGCAATAGATTGGTTGCTTTATGTTAAAAACAGTAATAACATTCAGCCCCAAGCCCCAGTTCCAGCCCCATCATCATCATCATCATCATCTTGCTCTTCCTTTTCCTCTTCATCTTCCTCATCTTCATCTAGTGGCTATCCCTCTCTACCCTCTTCACCCTCTCCACCCTCTCCTTGCAAAGACTCTACTCCACCTCAGCTCTCAAGTTATGTCATTGGCAAGGTAAGAAGTCACCACCGGTTACCTCCAGGGGTCTCCTGGCTTGAGTTCATACGGGGTACAGGTTCTGAAACCACCAAAACAAGACAATCGGCATCACCCAAAACCAAGCGTGCGAGGACTCGCAACTCAAAATCCATAAAAAAGGGGAAAAGGGAACCAAACACGCTGCTCAGATATTTCCAAACAAAATTCCAAAATGAGAAATCCTGATTAAATCAACTTTCTGTCTCTTTGAGAGCAATGTCTTTCTCTAGTTCTTTGACACTGATGCCTGTTTTCCTACCATGCTTATTTATATCCTTATTAAAACCTAGGTATGACTCTATTTCAGCTAATGAAGCACCTATTTGAAGAGAAGTATTATTTTTAAAATATATTTGTTAGTTGGAAGATAAACTGTGACTTCTAAAATGCAGAATGCAAAATTCTACATTTTTAACAGAATCTCTTGTTTAGTGCAACAACGGTATAAATGCTAATATAAGTTTTCAGAGTTGGCCAAATATCAGAAGTACCCCTCCTATCTGGCTCTGAACAATATGAGGCTATTCTCCTTGATAAGCTATGTTAATAGCAGTATTAATAAGCCAATTTATGCAAATATATTTTTCTAGCTCTAAATAAAATTCAGGCATCATTCAATAGGTAAGAACATATACAAAAGGACTTATTTCAATTATGAAATTCTAGAAAAATTTTGGGAGTATCACACATTCTGAGATTAATTTAATCAATCTTTATTAACAATTTGAAGTAGTAACTAGGAAACAGCTCCATGGAATCATGATGAGGAAGACTTTTCAGACATGGCTTTTAATGTCACTTGCTTATTACTTTCATATATACAGCCATTGAGTTAATGAAAGGAATACCTAAAAAGATGATGAATGTCCAGGATCTACTGATAGATCGTTGATAGCCCCAAGGCTGACAATAAGTCATGTAATAACAATTAGTGATTTACAATCCTGATTCTCCAAGTCAAAGCACAAAAATGCAGATTGAACATCTCAAACTGAACATGACCCAGACAAAATTCCTCATTTTTATAACAACAATTTCCATCTTTATCTAGTCATATGGGACTGTTTTCACTGTCACTTGGTCAGGCCATGAATTTTTATTGTTGCTAGGATCTGTTGCTCTACTCTGTCACTTTTCATAGTTTATCCTAGTCATGATCATAGCTATTTGTCACACGTATTCTAGCAATAACCTGTAAAAATGCATTTTTACTTCTGAATACATTTGAGGTACACAACATTGATAGTTCTCCATTGCTTATAACTTAAATCAGTCTTTATCCTTTATATTATGAATGTTTAAATTCCTAGATGAAGTATGATGGTTTCTTTCTTTTTAATTTATAATAATATTCACCATCATCTTCATTATTATTATTATTATTATTAGTTGTGTGTGCGTGTGCATGTACCATATTTCTCTTGTGTAGAGATCAGAGAACAATTTTCTGGAATCAATTCTGTCCTTCCTCATTTACGTGGGTTCCAGAGATCAAACTTAGGTCACCAGACTTGCATGACAAGTGCCTTTACCATCTGTCTTAGTTGTGAAGAGGCATCACGACCCAGGTAACTATTATAAAGAAAGCATTTAATTGGGAACTTATAGTTTTAGAGGGTTAGTCCAGAATCATCATGGAAGGAATCAAACAAGTATGGTGCTGGAGTAGTAGCTGGGAGCTTTATATCCTGATCAGCAGGGAACAAACAGGAGAGAGATAGAGATAGAGGAGATAGAGATGGAGATAGATAGAGATAGGAAGGGGGGGGACTAGGAACTGCAGCACAAGTAGGCTTTTAAAAACTCAGAGCCTACTCCTGATGATACCTTCTCCAACAAGACCACAGCTCCCAACCCTTCCTACACAATTCTATTAAGAGGACTAAACATTCAAATAGATGAGTCCAACGGGGACCATTCTCACTCAGAGTATCCCAGGATCAGAGGCATCTCACTGGCTGAAATAATTCTTTCTCAAAACTGACTTCTTTTCTCCTGTCTCCTCTTAGTTGCTTCAGACACTGATTTCTTTACAATGCATAAATTATAGTGACGGTTTATATCACCATGTGTTTAAAACCCACAGTCTTCTTGTATGGAAAGATGGTATATTTGTGCACTTTTATCCTAGAGGGATTTGCTTTTCCTTGGCATGTTCTTGGAACCATTCTCTTGTTCAGCATACAGAGTCAACTGGCTTTCCTGTGATCATAAAACATTATGTTCATCCATTCTATTTCTTCCAGTTACTATAACATAATGCAGCTTTTTCCTATTTGGTTTAAGTCATTATATTAAAAACTCTTGTTGGAAAAATTTTTGATTTCCTTTCCTTTTGTTTTGTTTTAAACCTTATCTCTGGAATGAAGTACCTTAAAATATGTGTAAATGTTGAGTTAGTATTATTGAAGCTCTTCATTTAAAATGTACATATTTGAAATAATGCTTCACTTGCATGAATCATTTTAATGCAATTAATCATGAATTGTTCTTTTACCTCTTATTTTACCTCTTATATTGGCAAAAACATAGGTAAATGGTACTATTGATGTGTTAATGTGTTAAAGGTTTTCTGCAATATCTTTAGAAATCCCCCAACAAAGGCTCTTCTTTTTTTTTCCTTTTTTTAATTCAAATTAGAAACAATCTTATTTTATTTAACAATCCGAGTTCCCTCTCCCTCCCATTCTCCCATGCCCCCTACCGACTCTCATTCCATTGCTGTTCTGTTCCACAGAAAGGATAAGGCCTTCTATGGGAGATCATCAAAGTCTGTCACATCATTTGGGTTAGGGCCTAGGCCCTCTTCCATGTGTCTAGGCTGAGACAGTATCCCTCTATGGGTAATGAACTCCCAATGTCTATTTGTACACTAGAGATAAATAATGTTCCACTGCCAGAGGCCCCATAGACTATCCAGGCCTCCTAACTGACACCTACATTCAGGGGTCCTGGTTCTGTTCTATGATGGTTTCCAAGCTGTCGGTCTGGGGTCCATGAGATCCCTCTTGTTCAGGTCATTTTTGCAATTGTTTCTGTAATATCCTCTCAAGTAGACAAATTTTCATGAGCGGGGGTCCTATGTCTATCTAATTGTATACTAATCCTAAGAAAAGAGTGTTGCTGTAACATATCAGTATATATGCTGTAAATTAATTCATAACAAGGCATTCAACTGATATTTATTTACTGGTGTAATTTGCTCACTTAGCTTTCCTATGAAGATTCATTCCTAAACTCTGTGTAGTCTTCCCAATGAAAGAACGGGGCAGCTGTTGCTGCTATTTGCTTGTCCTGTCTTCTTTCAGGTATGTCAGAGATTCCTTTAGTTGTTTAGAGTTTAAGCCACCTTGGAGTGTAGACCTGATAATCTTTATATCTTTGTCATCATTATCAAGGGTATACATTGGAGTTTACATAAAAGAATGACATTAGCAAAAGCTAGCTTCTGCTATTTCTGCCATATTGTTACCCGCATGGTCCATGTCTGCCATATTGTTATCCGCATGGTCCATGTCATGCCAAGGAAGCAGATGGCATCAGAGGACACACGCATTATTTACATATATACGTACACACATATATACATATGTAAGGATACACATGGCATCTGGATCTGTATGGTGCTTTGTTGACTTAATTTTTTGAATACTAATGTATGAAAAACAATAGTTGCTTAGATACATTTGATTAAAACTAACTATATACTTTAGAGATGTCTTGGCTTCAAATTGGAAGTCAAGAAATGTGTTGCATTGAGGGAGAGGTTATGCCTTTCTTTTCACAATAAATGAAAAGCTATGTATTCCTTAGTTATTAGAGATCAGATTTGACCAGGGTAGACCTCCTGAAAATCTTGGCTACAGACGTAACGGAAAAAGAAACAAGAAAACTAGAAGACAGATGACATATAAACTCATTCTTTGACATGGGAACAACTCTGATTCTGGAAGACATGATAAATCTTGTTGACTACAAATTCCTCATGATTTATTATTACATGTTATTCTTTTACAGGGCATGAGTAGAGAATTATGTTACACTTTGTTTATACAGTCCAAATGAGCTTATAAAGTTGGCAGATGTCTTTTACCTTCTAAAACATAGAGCAGAAAATCATCTTTAGCAGATTTGTGCACACTACACATTCTATACTTGTGTTAATGCAGATATGTACTAACTTTAAAAGTTTGTGTGTGTGTGTGTTTTTTTAAATGGACCAGGTGATAAAATCTCTCAGAATGCCTCTGTTGCATTTTCTTCAAAATTCTACATCCAGAACAACTGCAAAATGGTTTTCCAAGTTGACCCAGCCTCAGAGACTCCTCTAGCCAGGACTTGAGCTAAACCCTGCACTTTCCCATTATGCAGAGACTGGAAAAAAGTGATACAGTTAGCTCTCCAGGACTTAGCTATTATCTCAATGTTCTCAGGGTTCTGTAAAGAGGCCATTGTCCTGAGACAGCAGGAAATAATTTTAAGAATATGACGCCCACATTCCCAAGAGGTGGGGTGGGTGGCTTTTGGTTGTTCAGTGGGTTATGAATGTTTGTCGTCATTTAGGGGGGTTAGTTGCAAATTGTTACTCATCATGGTAAAGGAGGAAACTAAGCAATGGAGGCTGGATTCATTGATCTCATTCTTAAAAGAAAAAGGTGGATATGGAAAACATAGAATAAAAGGGTCAATTATTGAATCTACTTTAAACTAAAAAGCTATCAATCTAAAATATTTTACTTTGGTGTAGATTTTTGTATAGTGATACAAATTTAAGTTATTTTATTAGGACATGTATATATGTTTCTGTTCTTGTTTTAGATATTTTTGTATATTGAAATAACTTTAATGTTATTTTTGTTAGAACATACTCTATATTTGCTTCTCCTATAGTTTAAGGTATTTTTATATGCTGATATAAATGTAAGGAAACACACACACACACACACACACACACACACACACACACACACACACATATATATATATATGCTTCTACTATTGTTTAAGGCATTGTACCTATATAGCTCATTTAAAAATTTAATGTATAATTAAAAATACAGGTTAATATAATAGTTAAACCTTTATTCATGTCAGGTATGATTTCAAGGTTAAACATTATTTTTTATATAGGTAGGTAGTCTTCAAACACTGCAGAGACCTTCAGAATATGGCATTTAAAATGTTTTCATTGCCTAAGGGTTTTCATGACAG